TTTATTATGAATTGTTCTGTTTCTTCCCACAGGTGCTGGGCCAGAGACGACAGAAGCTGAACTACCTTCCACAGCTGCACAGTTAGAAATCACTAGTGCTGCAGGTAAGTGGTTTAACTCAATATTGCGCTCAGTCTTGTCTAATTATAATATGAATTAGACAATGTATTGATTAAACGACACAGACTCACTGACTCAGAGTGATACACAGACTGGAACTATCATATTGACATACACAAACTCACCCTGGCACACAGTCATCCTCACACTGAGACTCTCACACTGACACACACTAACTCACACTAACCCAGTCATCCTCACACTGAGACTCTCACACTGACACACACTATCACACTGACACACAGTCATCGTCACGCTGAGGCTCTCACACTGACACACACTAACTCACTCTGACACACAGTCATCCTCACAGTAAGACTCTCACACTGACAAACGTCCTCACACTCAGACTCTCACAATGACACACGCTACCACTCACTAACACACAATCATCCTCACACTGAGACTCTCACACTGACACACAGTCATCGTCACACTGAGACTCATATAGACATACACTAATGTACACTGACACACACTAACTCTCACTGACACACACTAACTCACAATGAAACACACTAACACACACAGACACACACTAACTCACACAGACACACACTAACTCACACTGACACACACTAACTCACACCGACACACCGCGCTAACTCACACAGACACATGCTAACTCACACAGACACATGCTAATTCACACAGACACATGCTAACTCACACCGACACACCGCGCTAACTCACACAGACACACACTAACTCACACAGACACACGCTAATTCACACAGACACACGCTAACTCACACCGACACACACTAACTCACACAGACACACACTAACTCACACTGACACACGCTAACTCACACAGACACACGTTGACTCACAGACACACAGACTAACTCACACATACACACACTAACTCACACTGACACACACTAACTCACACCGACACACACTAACTCACACCGACACACACTAACTCACACAGACACACACTAACTCACACTGACACACGCTAACTCACACAGACACACGTTGACTCACAGAGACACAGACTAACTCACACATACACACACTGACACACACTAACTCACACAGACACACGTTAACTCACAGAGACACACACTAACTCACACTGACAGTACCCACTAACTCACACAGACACACGCTAACTCACACAGACACTAACTCACACTGACACACACTAACTCACACAGACACGCATTGACTCACAGAGATGCACACTAACTCACAGAGACACACGCTAACTCACACAGACACACGCTAACTCACACAGACACACGTTGACTCACAGAGACACACACTAACTCACACAGACACACACTAACTCACACTGACTGACAGTGGTTCTCATTGTGAACACTGACTGATGTTCTCTCAGTGACTCTTGTCATATACACACAGAGTGGCACTTCCTCTTACTGCCAGACTGTACCAGATACTGACAGACCCAGTTACTATTGTACCCAGCTCAGCCTGTCTCTGAAACTCCAAATGCTCCTGCGCTTGTTTCCACACTAACTTGACACACACTAATGCACACTGACTGACAATGTCTCTCATTGATGTTTATTATGAATTGTTCTGTTTCTTCCCACAGGTGCTGGGCCAGAGA